TGTCCCTCCAAATGTGTAGCAGTTTCTGGAATCAGCATAATATTTACTGAACGTTGATGTCCACTGATGAAATCTTCTGTGTTTGTAGATCACAGGCTTCACTGCTGGAAACCTGGCTGGACTCCTGAAGTGTCAACTATACAGCAGCAGCAGTTACTCCAAGGAGATCTGGAAACTGCTTTTCACCAAAGCAAATGATGTTCTGGACGAAGCCCTCGTCATCTTCTCCAGCGCAGCAGCAAATATGGTAAATGAGCCTTGTACATCTGTCCTCTAGTGTTCAGTGTTAGATTGACTGGGAATCTGACAGTAGTTCCTCCTCATTACATCATCAGTCTCAGCCAATCAGAGGTGATGTCGTGTCCCAAGTGCTGGATGTGATTGGAGAGCTGAGACAAGAGCGCATCAGTCCTGACCAATGGAGAGACCTCCCTTTCATCAGCATGTTGTTGGGTCAATATCTGAAGCCGTTTTTCGTTTTTACCTCATCATCCCTACTGCAGTGCACTAGCAGCAAAAACCTCAGCTGCCAAACTTACCAGCACCCAGCACAAAAGATGTCCTCAACAATAGCTAAAGACTGTCATGAGCTGATAAGATGCTTGTTCAACATTATTTTCAACCATTTCTCAGTCTGTCAGAGGTCACACTCGTCAATGAGTCTCAAGGAAGAAACATGGTGAACTTCTTCATCCTGCCCTTCCTCAGAAGAAACACAACAGGTGAGGTGCAGGTTCACAGATGTTTCAGTCTTCATGGCAATGAGTCTAACATGGTGAACTTCTTCATCCTGCCCTTCCTCAGAAGAAACACAACAGGTGAGGTGCAGGAGGTGCAGGGTTTCAGTCTTCATGGGGAGGTTCACAGATGTTTCATATGAAGGTTCTGGAGTTCATGAAGGTGATTTCACTGTGTCTGTTGTGTGTGTCAGATGCGGGCTGTGTGTCGACTGCTAACAACAGTGTTGAGTGGCTGCAGAAGAACTTTGGCCCGTTCTCTCAGTATGTGTCTCTCACAGATCTGCTCTCCATCAACGGACTCTTTGATCCCGTATGTCTCCACATCTTCACATGTGATTTCATCAAAGAAGATTTATAAAAATAACACCAACGTCTCCTTATCCTTCACTTTAATTCTCTTGTTCTTCTGTGTGTGTTTAGTTGGAGACCCTGGACAATCTCACTCCAAAGCAGGTGGCTGGACTGATGGTTGACGATCTACCTGGTCTTCCAGAGAAGGAAGTCGTCATCAATACAGTGTTTGATCATCTGCTTGTGTCTCCTGTGGAGCGAGGACTTCCTGATGTTCTTCAAAACCTGCTCTCAATCTCACGGATGGTAAAATTTACACATTTGTTCTCAATGTCTCTCCATCAAACACTACTCTGATGCCTAAGGGATTCGTCTTTTCATGTGGATTGGCTTAAATGAGAATTGCATTGTGATTTACGGGTGTTGTACTGAGATGTAAATGAAATCCAGTAGCACTAATCAATGTTTTCTGATGGATTTAACAGCTACCAGAGTTTGTTCAGGAGTCAACAGGTACGAGCAAACACTCTTTTCTCCACTTTTACTGTGACATCATCTGTGAGACAGGAAGTGCTCATGAAATTCTGATGTGTCCCACAGTAACGAGACTCTCCTGTCCGCTGGACTCGTGAGCGCCCCCTGTAGTGTGGACCTGCAGCAGTACGCTTGCTCTTCGGTAAGAAGACCATGAACAGAAAACTCAGTTCACATGAGCTGATGTTGATGATTGTCTGGGAATCTGTGTCCCTCCAAATGTGCAGCAGTTTCTGGAATCAGCATAATATTTCCTGAACGTTGATGTCCACTGATGAAATCTTCTGTGTTTGTAGCTGACAGGCTTCACTGCTGGAAACCTGGCTGGACTCCTGAAGTGTCAACTATCCAGCAGCAGCAGTTACTCCAAGGAGATCTGGAAACTGCTTTTCACCAAAGCAAATGATGTTCTGGACGAAGCCCTCGTCATCTTCTCCAGCGCAGCAGCAAATATGGTAAATGAGCCTTGTACATCTGTCCTCTAGTGTTCAGTGTTAGATTGACTGGGAATCTGACAGTAGTTCCTCCTCATTACATCATCAGTCTCAGCCAATCAGAGGTGATGTCGTGTCCCAAGTGCTGGATGTGATTGGAGAGCTGAGACAAGAGCGCATCAGTCCTGACCAATGGAGAGACCTCCCTTTCATCAGCATGTTGTTGGGTCAATATCTGAAGCCGTTTTTACCGTTTGCGTCATCATCCCTACTGCAGTGCACTAGCAGCAAAAACCTCAGCTGCCAAACTTACCAGCACATGTAAGAAAAGATGTCCTCAACAATAGCTAAAGACAGTCATGAGCTGATAAGATGCTTGTTCAATATTATTTTCAACCATTTCTCAGTCTGTCAGAGGTCACACTCGTCAATGAGTCTCAAGGAAGAAACATGGTGAACTTCTTCATCCTGCCCTTCCTCAGAAGAAACACAACAGGTGAGGTGCAGGTTCACAGATGTTTCAGTCTTCATGGGGAGGTTCACAGATGTTTCATATGAAGGTTCTGGAGTTCATGAAGGTGATTTCACTGTGTCTGTTGTGTGTGTCAGATGCGGGCTGTGTGTCGACTGCTAACAACAGTGTTGAGTGGCTGCAGAAGAACTTTGGCCCGTTCTCTCAGTATGTGTCTCTCACAGATCTGCTCTCCATCAACGGACTCTTTGATCCCGTATGTCTCCACATCTTCACATGTGATTTCATCAAAGAAGATTTATAAAAATAACACCAACGTCTCCTTATCCTTCACTTTAATTCTCTTGTTCTTCTGTGTGTGTTTAGTTGGAGACCCTGGACAATCTCACTCCAGAGCAGATGGTTGGACTGATTGTTAATACTCAACCTGGTGTGCCACAGAATGTCATCATCAATACAGTGTTTGATCATCTGCTCGTGTCTCCTGTGGAGCGAGGACTTCCTGATGTTCTTGAGCTCTTGTATATTTTCTCCATAACGGTGAGAAGATAAGGCTGGAGGTCTTTGGCAGTTTCTAGAACTGTGTATATATTAGGAAGTTGAAATTTGGCACCCTCATTTCAGAGGGTCTTAACATTTATCTAGCCAAATGCGGGGTCTGTATCTCAAATTCAGTAGTGGAAACAACAGCTCAAAGTTACTCATTTTATCTTTTGATCCAATGACGTAGAAACGCAATGCTCTATTGAATTACACTAGTACTTATATGAATTTCATTCTATTTTTTTATTTTATTTTATGTTATTTTTCGTTTTTGACATTGCAAACAAACATTTCTGCAATTCATCTGTAACTGATCCCATTGTATCATCATAGTGTTTTATTAAGCTTTCAATCGTGTTTATAATGCTTGTTCTACTCGCATTAAATTCAAGGCATTAATGTTTGCCTACAAAACCACCACTGGCTCTGCACCCATTTACCTAATTTCATTACTTCAGAGTTATGTGCTCTCTAGAAGCTTTCATTCTGCAAGTGAACGACGCATTATTGTGCCATCTCAAAGAGGCACGAAATCACTTTCACTTTTACATGAACTGTTCCCTCCTGGTGGAATGACCTGCCCAACTCAATCCCATCTTCAAGAATCGGCTAAAATCCATCTTTATTTGACCCTCTAACTCTAGCACTCTCTATTCTGATTCTATTCTTAAAAATAAAATAAAAAAACATGTCTCTTTTAGACTTGCACTAAAAAAAAAAAACTAACACTAGCTTCTCTATTCTTTTTGTATTCTGTCTATTTATTTTCTTTTTATTTATTATACCATTTTTCCATTTTTATGGTTTTGAAAGTGCTTTATAAATAAAAGTTGAGTTGAGATTATACAATTAACAAAAGCAAAGATGGCCTCTAACAATAGTTTGCTCTATTCTGTTTCTATTCTGTTTTCTTTTTATTTATTACATAATTAAAAAAAAAACCTTGCTGCGTGTACTGCGTTAAGCTAACTGAGTCTTTTTATAGCACTTGCATCTCATTGCTCTCTTGTTGATTTTGATTGCTTCCATTGTCCTCATTTGTAAGTCACTTTGGATAAAAGCATCTGCTACATGACTAAATGTAAATGTTCTACTGCGCTCACCCTGTTATTGCTGCTTAGAGTTCTATTCCACTGCATGGAAATAAATACATGACTTCTTATGGTTTTCTTTTGTAGAGTCCACTCAGCTGTCAAACCAACCAGATAATGTAAGTGTTAGTTGATTAATACCCATCAGATTCAGTTGCATTATTGACCACATCTTCTTGACTACTTCTGTTGTGAATCAGCTTCACGAGGCTGGAGCAGATCTTGAGCTCAGGAGCGGGTGATCTGGAGCCCGTCATCTGGGCGAGCGTTTATAAGTTCAGCCGCACGGCTCCTGCAGGTCAGCGGCGTTTCATCCGTCTCTCAGTCAGCCGTTATGTTTTTTTCTCCTGTTCCTTATTAATGCTGTTTTTGACTGTTCTCACAGACTGCGCTCTTCTCCCAGTCGTGAATGAGGTGTGTTTGTCATTTTAAATTAATCGCTTTCATTTTTACTCTTACAGAATCCGAAACAATAATTTTAGTCTGTTGTGTACATTTAACACCGCTTTTGTCTTTTCCTCTGCAGTGTGCCGTGACTCCATTCAACGGTATTCAGTGATTCCTGTCCATCACCATCATTTACATTCATGCTTTTAGCAGATGCTTCTGTCCAAAGTGAAAGAGGAAAAGTACTGCTATTATTTCATGATCATATATGAGTGTGCAATACTGATGTTTTGCTCTCTTTGTGTGTGTTTCAGAGATTCGGGTGTGCAGTGGAGTGGACAGGTAGCGTAAAGCTTCATTTTCCTCTTTTGTTTTTCCCAGCTTTGACTAACTGTGTCCTCTCTGTCCAGTTCTGCAGCACAGCAGTGCTTGAACGAAGGACGGGTTTGTGGCTTCAGTATTGCAGCACATGCATGCGCCCCGGTAATCACACATGAGTCTATATCCCAAAATGCAGCTCTGTAATCAGATGTGAAACGGTGGTGTAAACAGGTGTGTTGTGGTGTGTTCATGTGTGTGTTCAGGTGCTGAATGTGAGCGTGGAGTATCTGGTCACACTACTGAACTCTCACCTGTCTGATGATGACATGAGCTCAGCTGAGAGCTGGAAACTCTTCCTGACCAGAGTCTCACACCTGCTGGACATCGCCCTCGAGCAGCTCTCCAACCAGGTACAGGACAGACTCATTTCTGTCTGTATGCGCTTCTGATTCAGAACACACTGCAACTTAAAATAAAACCATAAAAAAATCATGGCAGCATTTTACAATAAGGTCCCATTAGTTAACAGTAGTTAGTGTATTACCTAACATTAACTAACAATGAGCAATACATTTGTTACAGTATTTATTGAACTTTGCAGCTGGTCATTGTTAGTTCAGGTAATAATATTAAAACATACAACATTTGATTTTAAAAATGTATTAGTACATGTTGAGATTAACACTAACTAAGATTAATAAATGCTTTAGAAATGTTTTCCATTGATCGTTCTTGTTAACTAACAAGACAAATGGAACCTTGTAAAGTGTTACCAAACACACGTTTGTTACTTGAAATAAAATAAATATTAACTGAAATAAAATATTAATAAAATTATTTCGCCTAGTTGCCAAAACAACATTTGTTTATTTTAACTTGAGGTAGTAAAATAACTAAAAGTTTCTGAAATAAACTTAAATAAAATAAAATATAAAAATGTTAAAAATCGAACTAAAAAAAACTAAAATTGAAATAAATAAAAATAAAATATTTTATTAAAAAATATTTTATGTCACCTACTGTAGTTGCCAGGGCAACAATTTTATTTTAGTTTAGTTATAAACTGAAAAAACTGCATAAACACACAATTTACTAAATTACTAAACTTTACTAAACTGAAATTAAAAGAAAAACAGAAAATCTCAAAATAAAAACAAATTCGAAATTGTAATAGTATATCAATGACACTAAACTAGCAGAGATTCAGAATCACTCAGTCATAAAACACTTTATCAATGCTTTATGAAAACAGGAACTGAGCGACTCAAAGTGACAGTAAACAGCAGAAATCCTGCATTTATTCACTCTGAACCATGACCGGAGATTGAGAGCAGGCCTGCTGTATGTTTGATTCCTTGTGCTGGTGCTGATGATCTTCTGTGTGTGTAGTCGGTGTGGTGGAGCAGCGGCTCTGCTTCAGTGGTGCTGGATGTCCTGCAGGAGCTGCGGCTGGACAGATTCTCAGATGAGAGCGCCTCTGCGCTGTGGCTTGATGAACACCTGCGAGCGTTCCTGCCGAGCGCGTCCGGGATGTTCCTGCAGTGCCTGCGCAGCCAGAACCTCAGCTGCCAGAGCTTCCAGACAGTGTAAACGGCCCAGATCTTCATCACTTTCTCTTTAAACATTTAAAACCAGTCAGACATACTGAGTGAGCAGTGTGTGAATAGCTCAGTGTTTTATGGATCTGAATATCAGTGAATCAGATTAGATTTGGAGTCTGAGTGTTGTGATATTGACGTGTGTGTGTGTGTGTGTGTGTGTGTGTGTGTGTGTGTTGAAGGGTTGGAGCATTCGATGCAGGATTTTTCCGTATGAATGACGTTCAGCGCCGAACAGCCGTGTCACACTTCATCGTGCCGTTCCTCTCGAGAGCAGGTACTGATCAGATGCTCCTCTGTGTGTCGTTCATCTGTCTGGGTCAGATTAGCTCATCATTAACACTGTACTGCTGTGATGTTGTGTGTGTGTGTGTGTTCAGGTGCGGCGTGTGTGTCCAACGACAGCTCTCAGTGGCTCATCAGTAACTTCGGCCAGTTCTCTGCTCTCCTTCCTCTGAATCAGCTGATCTCGCTCAACCCACAGTTCAACCCGGTACAGTCACTAAAACACGTTTACACCGCAAACAGTCACTGCACTCATCAGGATTTACTCTAAAACATGGTAGTGTTACCTGAGAAGCAAACCTGGGTAAGATACTGAGGCGTTTTTCTTGTTTGAAGCATAAACTGATACATTGATGTGGGCGTGGCTCTCACATTTGTATGCAGATGGAGCATGAGATTGCAGGGGCGGGGTTTAAGGCGGGGCTTGATTCTATGGCTGTGTTCGAAAGCTCTAAAATGCTGCCTTCGGAGTCAGGAAGGCATCAAGGCACGTCTGAATCCAAATTCTGCTTCACTTCCTGTCTCCGGAGGTTCCTTCTTCTGATCGAATTTTGAAGGCAGCATAGATGTATCCTTCACTGCCTTTGAAGTCCCACAATCCTGTGCGTTCCATTCCGTGACGGTTGAGATAAAAAATAAAGATGGCATACTGAAAGTTGCGTTTGGTGGTCAGTTTGTGTTTAAATGTAATGTTTCTGACTAACTTTTTGCACTTTTGATGTTATTTCTAGTGAGAAATCAGTATTATAATACTTAAATATTCATTTAGTTATCATCAAAACTCATTCTATTTTGTTGTAGATCATTAAACCGTTACGCTGCCTCAGAAGCCTGTCCGAAATCAGTTTCATGAGGTGCCTTCGTGCAAAAACGCTGCCTGCAATGTCATTGCCTGATGAGGCAGCAAGTCAGCTGCCTAGGCTTTCGGACGCAGCCTGTGTGTCAGTTGCTGATTGTATGTTTAGATGTGGGCGTGGCTCTTCAAAATGGAGGCGGATCTGAATGCAATCTTGCAGTAGATCATAAGAAAGGGGCGGAGTTTTAGTGGATTAAATGATTGGAGAAATCTGACGTTTCACTGGAAGATCCAGTTATGACATTCTGATTAATCTATACTGTGTTATTAATAAGTGAAATGTATGTACAGATGAATTGCTCACAATAAGGTCTATTACTTGCATTTAGAAAATGAGGTGAATTTTCCTTGCGTGCTGACTTTAGCACAAGTAAGACATTTAGTTCAAGATTCTCTTAGAACAGGATACAGTATCTTCCACAGTTTTGCTTCTCAAGATATTTTACTGGAAAACAAGCTTCCTCTTGTTCTTGAAGTGTGGAAGAGTTTTAACTTGGTCTTTGCTTGCGTTCTTCTCTGTTTCCAGATGAGCGGCCTGCTCTATCTCTCTCCAGAGCAGCTGGTTGGGCTGATGTTTGATGACGTTCCTGGTCTTCCAGAGAAAAGTGTGGTCATCAATGCCGTGTTCGATCACCTGACCGCGTCTCCACAGAAAGAGAGGATCCTCTCCACGCTTCCTATCATGGTGGAGTCATCAAAGATGGTAAAAGAGTTTTCAATGCACTTTTGCATCTGTTTCTCATTGCTGTCCCACCATTGACACCCAGACGTGTTTCTTTCTGACAGAGGAACGTCTCCTGCACGTCATATCAGATCATGTGAGTGTCGTCATGTGTTTGGTGTGCTGAATCTCACGGTCTCGTGCTCACGCGTCTGTCTGTCCGTCTGTTTGCTAGCTTCCACCGTCTGGATCATCTGATGGTCAGCGTGCTGGTGGATCTAGAGTCAGTGATTCTGAGGAGTAAATCAGCTCTTCTTCAGAACGTGCCGCAGGGTGAGACCAGAGCACTTTCACTATCGTGAGACATATTCACCTGACTTATATCAAACGTTACAGGATGTGCTTCACTCACTCACTCACACACACACACACACACACACACACACACACA